CATTGTGTTCTTTGTCTGTCCATGTGGTGAGCCTATATATAAGCCTCTCCCCCCCCCCCCCCCCCCCTTGTAGGTGATGATGAATTATTTTTATAATAAATTCTATTTAGCATCTCTTTACTTTGGTGAGAAATGAGGTGGATGAGAGTGTGAACTATAGGAGAGGCAAATGAAGTACCCAACAACCCATTAAGGTGAGCTCTTGGTTTTCTCCTTATATCTCTTCCCCTTTCCCTCCATCCCTAACCGCCGGTCAACTCCCTTCCCCTTCCACCACCAACGGCAAGCCCACCACCACCACCTCCCCATCCATGTTCCCAATCCAAAATTTCCCAAATCTGAAATTTTGACCCTTTGGATTTCAATTGGACCCCACTTGTCCCTTGGAATTCTTCATGTTAATTAATGGGATGTTGACCCATTAATTGTCTCTCCTTATTTTCATTTTCAAAATTAGTTGGGAATTGGAAAAGCCACAACCCCTTTCCCTTTACCGATGGTTACCTCACCCATGGAACTCTTCATATTAATTAATGGAAAGTTGATCCATTAATTGCCTCTCCTTATTTTTATTTTCAAAAATAGTTGGGAATTGGAAAAGCCACAACCCCTTCCCTTTCCCCATGGTTAGCCTACTCTTGGAACTCTTCAAATTAATTAATGGGAAGTTGACCAATTAATTGCAAAGTTAACTTAATCTTTTCCCTTTTCCAAAACAATTTTTCCATTTTCCAATCCCACTCTCTCCTATTGCCCTAAGCCCCACCACTCTAATTAACCTCATATCATTCCTAATCTCCCCCAAATAGCAAAAATCATGGCCCCTCCTTCAAAATTTCAGCCAGCACCTCTTCTTCTCCACTGTGAAGCAAGACACAAGGAAGGCACTACGGAGCAACCATTTGAAGATCAACCAGCCGAGACCCCACCACATTTGAAGGAAGCTTCCCTGCGATGCAAATACCTAAGTCTTTCTACTCTTACTTCATACATTTAAGAAGATAGCTCTGAAGTCTAATTCTATGTGGCATCATTACTTTCATGTTAATTTAAATCTGCTATCTTCCTAAATCATGGAGTGCATGATTCTAGTGGTGGTTGATCTATGTTAAATGTTGGATCTTTTTGCCAACACATGTTAGCTAAGTTGTTGATTTAATTTATCCTTCTTGAATTTTAGAATTTTAGTTGTGGTTAATTGCTATTTGTGGATTATTTTTCTTAATTGTTTGAAGTTTGTTTTAAACATTCCCATGATTAATAGCTTGTTGCTTCTAAATTTAACTTATGTTTAATTTCATAATGCAAGTCTTCACATGCTAGCCCTACATCAAGCTTTCTTTCCAGTTAAAGGAATCTTTGAAAGGGCAAGGTTCTCAAATTGTATATTTCCAATCCAAGATAAAATATATCAAATATCTTTCGGTGTCAGTTCTTATTTCTTAAAGTGTGTGCTCTCAAATATTGAAGTTCATTATAGGTATATTTGAAAGGGCAAGGTTCTCAAATTGTATATTTCCAATCCAAGACTGGTAATTGATTTATTATCATTTATTCGAAGCTCATTAGCTTAGCAGGGTTGCTTTATTGACAACATCCAATCTTATAAAATATCCCAAATATTTTTCGGAGTAAGTTCTTGTTTCTTAAATTGTGTGCTCTCTCTAATAAGATCATAAGTTATGGTAAAATAAAGTATAACTTCTATTGCATTTCAATCTCATTTTCCATAACAACCATGAATCCAATCATAATTCATCCAATTCTAACCTAAATGTTCATTTAAATCACCACTAATAACTATTCTTTCTTCATACAACATGAGAAGCAAAACCACTGAAAGCATTCACAAGTTCCTCATCGATAATTATCTTAATAGCAAACACTCTATAACTAACCCTATTAACTTTAATAATTTTATCTTTCAACTCTTTTGCACTACAACACCTTCTGGTAAGGTGGTTACACAAAACGGCACCATTTAATTGTGATTAAGGCCAAGGCCAAAGCAAGGAAGTTCCGGAATAGCTCAATCCCCTATTTGGTGAATTATGGACAACATTAGCTAACGTGGAATTAAAATTAACCGCTTAGAAAAATATTCTCCAAATATCTATAAGGTCCCTTCAGATGACATAAATCATGGCTATTCACAAGGATCATTTAGTCAGATTAAGTCGACTACTATTGTTTATTATGTAGAACAATTCAATGATAACCCAAGATGAGAAACCATGATATTCTAATCGAAATCATCATCATTCTCCCCAACATCTACTCTAAGCTAATAATGACAAATTTACTTTATCAACCTCATATGTTACTACTATAAGCTAAGCATTTAAGATTTAACGCCTACCCTTTAATCAAAACTTATCTCTTAAGACCAAAAGGGGTAATTAACCATAGAGGCTCGCATCTATGAGAAACTTTAAACCATATCAAATCATCACAAAAATGAGAACAAAAACCCTGGTTATAATGCTATCTAATATCCAATGAGTCTTCTAAAAGTTTGACCAAGAACAACAATCTATCAAAAAAGCCATGCACACATTTTTTGGAGCCCAAAAACAAATACTAGGAATACATGAAGTGGCAATGATACTAAGAACTGTGCAAGCATTAAAGCAAGAACCGATTACAAAATTTAGGAATGCATGGGAAACAATGATATCTAAAGACAGAAAAATAAGAATGGGAATCTGCAAAAATATTTATGTAACACATACTCGTGTTAAATTGGAGTAGGTTTTATTTCATTATTGTCAGGCATATGTGATGAGGACATCAGAGCATGGAAAGTGCATCAGAGGCGTAGCCGTCGATCTACGGCCACGATCGAGTCGATGTAGTTTTGAGTCATTTTCATGTATTTGTCTTTTATTATGTTATTTGTCTTTTATTATTTATGTTTTAATTTTTTTCCCGTTTTTACCCCTTACTTAAGGGAGGTCGTATGTAAGCCCTGAGGGCATTGTCGTCTTTCTTATTTTGAGTCCTTTTTTGTACAAGGCTATTTATAGCCCTCATGTTGCTCTTCTAAAGTAATGAATTATTTATTAAGAAAATTTCTTCTCCTTGTTTGAGTTCTAGTGAGAGCTTAAGAGATCAGAGTGAGATCCCTAGGACAGGGAGACAAATCACCCACCAACCTTGGAGACGGCCGGGTTCATGGTTTCTTATCTTTTCTTCTCATTAACCCATTCTTCCTTTACCTAGCCGCCGGCCAAGGTCCTCCCAAAACCTTGCCGCCGGCCACTTAATGTCCCACCACCACCACCACATAAGTCCCTCTTCCTTGGCTAAACCCAAACCCTTCCCCACCTTGCTCACCCGAGCCATTCCCCCACATCCCCACCCACGACTTCCAACCAACCCGCCGGCCCTCTCCTCCTCTCTTCCCCTCCCAAATTCAAATTCCCCTCTTTGAATACCTTCCATAAATAAATCACCTTAATTTGGGAAAGCTTAATTTCAAATTATTTTGAATTTTGAAAATTCTTTCCTAATCTAAGAAAGTTATTTTAGGAAAGTTTCCAAATCCTTGCTTATTTGAATTTAAACTAAATTAGGATGAGATCTTTCATTCTTAATTTAATTCCCCTAATCTAAGGAAGCATTAAAAGCTTCCTAAACTTCTCCCACCTAGCCATTATTGCCGCCAACCCCCCTTAGGATTGGACTAGGAAATTTTTTCCTAAAATCCAATTCTCTACTTTGGAAATAATTCCAAATCCCCATCATCCCTCCTTGGCTAAAATCCCCTTGCTCCCATTGAATTAATTTCTTTCCAAAAGGGAGTATCTCCCAATTGAATTAAATTAAATCTCCTTATTCCCCCTTACCGCCGCCCCCTCTCTCTCCCCCTTAGGCTATTCAAATTTTTGCCAAATCCAAGGACTTCGATTTGGAAAGAAATTTCAGCTTTCCCACCTAATTTTCCCACTTCAAACTTTAAACCTAATCATGAAATTTTGAACCTAACTCTTCTCCATGTTTCTTCCATTGCCTAAGCTGGTAAACGTGGGGTTTTGTTCCGCCATTGCCCAAAACCTAGTAAATGTACACTTTATTTGCTTCTAATCTTATTGTTATATTAGGGATTTTGTTGAAAACTATTTACTTAACATGATTGTTGAATTTCTAACTTGTTTTGATTTTTCAAGTGCTTAGCAAGTGACTTAGCCTAAACGTAGGCACCCCTCTCTTGTTTTCTATTGTCGTTTTGATTGTTAACAGTTTTAATCTTACTTTCTTAATTCAAGAAATCGTGCAAATAATTATTCCATCCATTTAAAGCATTTAGTTCTACAACAATATGCCTATGTTGTTTCCAAGAGAAATCCAATAAGTGTTCAAAATTTTACAAAAAATCTCAAGCACCACGAAGAACACATATGAAAAAACAACTTGGATTTCCTATAACTCAAAAATTACTGACAAACAAGCATTAGTGTGAAGAGATAGCAAAAAATGTCAAATTTATTATGGCATTATGCATAGTGCGTAAAATATGCATAAAGATAAAAATGTATCTCTATATGTATATTCTAATAACCCTTATCCCATATAGTTGGTTTTATGATTTCTTATTATATGTTGTCTGTTGAGCGTTGAATAACATGATATGCAAAATTCATTGTTTTGAAAACTTAGATGACTCATATCATAGAGACTCAAGAGATCCTCAAAATAGGCTCAAGTGCACCTTCAACATATTGTCAAACTTCTGCTAAAAAACAAACAGGCTTTGAAAGATGCACTCATTCTAACAAAAAAGTCAAGAGATATAAAGCAAAAGGGAATTCACATTGTAAATCGGGCATAATCAGCAACTCACTGCGACTGAAAAAACAACTACTGAGAACTTTAATTTCAAAAATTTCATCAACAAATTGGTATTTTAGTTAAAACCTTAAAAAAAATTGATCGGCAAAAAGTAGCCTAAAAATGCCCTATTGCAAAAATAAAATAAATCACAAATGTTTTGATGATACCTGGAGATGAGCTCTTGCAACTAGATCAGGCTGTGATTTCTGAAATTGAACCAAAAACTGCAGAATGTTTTCCAGCGACAGATCAAGTGGCAATGAAAAAATAGCATCCAGATCATTCAGAAGCTTCTCAAAGAACTCAATAGCCTGTAATTTGAAACAGAAGGGGATATTCAACAAAATTATAGATCCCCAAAAAAAGCCCCTGCCTGTACCTACTCGAGCATGAAAAACTTTTTATGCTAGAACTAAAGAAACATACTTAAACCGAAAACAATTTCGTAGCTCTAGCTATTTTTTTTCTTATGGCTCACTTGTTTCCAACTAAGGAGTTGGATTGCTCGTGGGGGAGTTGGAGCAGACAATCTGCTATTTATATTAGCATCAAACCCAAAAGGCTGTTTTCCTGATGCAGTTGTTCTACATTCAATTTCACCGTCACTAGGTCCACCAGCATTAGATCTGAGAAATTCCACTGACTTTGACATGGAACCAAGCTCAGAGAGGCACGACATCACATGCTTTTTAGCCAGCTCAAGACCCCTTCCTTTGGGCTTTCTCATGCACACAAGGGCGTGGTAGAAGTGCTGAGATAAAACAAAAATGGAAGAACATGGAAAATTATAAATAGAAAAATTAAATGGTTATCAATGATGAAAGGTTAGAATACATTGGTGTGTTCAATTAAAATCGTCAGAAAATATTCATAATCACAGCTAATGAACAGTTAGATTTCCTTGAGGCTTTTAAGTTTACACAAAAATTGGCCAACAAATTGAACCAGTTAATCGAATACCGACTAATACTAATAGAGTATTCAAATGTGAAGGCCTCATCTAGCTACATAGCAAGTTCCAATCATAGCTCGAAGACACTAATATTTGTGTGTTCGAAATCTGCTCCCTAAATTAAAAAAAAAATAGTTTTGAAAAGTATTTTCGTGACACAGACATTAACTGTTTGTTAATAAAGATAAAATATGAAAAGTAACAGTACAGAAATGCAACAGTTAATAGTTTCACGCAATCCATAACTGCAGGGAGGGGTCTTTTTTTTTTTAAATCCTGTTCCACACTTAAAATCTTCCAGCCAAACGTAAGACCTTCCGTTGAGACTTTCTGACGCACTAGAGAGCACTTCTTCAACCGCCAAGCAAAACTAATATTACTTTCTTTTAGATAATAGAACTAACTCTAAATTTAATATATATAATTTTGTCATTAATTATTAAAAAGAGGTAAATTTTGCAAAATAAGATTTTTATTTCCAAATAATAAAATAAATTGTTATTTTAAATTATATATATAAATCAAAATCATTCCAATCCTCATACACCTGTTGTAATCCCACAAACACCGCCTCCTCCATCCTACGCGCAAGTAGTCGTTTCGAGTCTCATCCACCGGTTGCCCTATCCCCTCTCCATTCGCCTTACTAAAATAAAAATAAAAAAAAAATAAAACTAATGCATCTTGGAAGTAAAAATAGCAAAATAGATATAAGAGAAATGCATGAATACAAATATGGGGGCTGTTTTTTTATTACTTCTTCAACAATAATGAAGATAATTGACCTACTATTCGAGAAGTAGATCAGCTCTCCCACAAACTCTAGTCGCCACTAGGAAACTCACTCCAAACCCTAGAAAATAAACTCAGCACATATATCATGATAACCCTAGACAAAACGCCCCCTTAAATAGCCCTCATACATATTAAACACAATTGGAACCTTCCTAAACAACATAGATACAAATAGAAAACCTTCCTAAACTATTAAAACCTTCCTAAAAAGCATAAACACAATTAGAAAATATTCGTAAACAGCATAAACACAATTATAAAATATTCGTAAACAGCATAAACACAATTAGAAAATCTTCCTAAACAGTTCCCCCTTGATTCATCCTTATATAATGAACATTCCAAAATCTCCCCCTCTATCGCCCCTAGTTCCGCCGAGCCAAAGGGCTGCTTTGGCTCGAGTTAGGCCAGTCTGGGTAGGTTGGTCTAGGCTGGCCAGGTGCCCCCCCCCCGCCCAAAGAAGCACTTTGTCCTTAAGATTGAAGGATGGGAACTATCTCCTGATCATCTTGTATGGCTCCCATGTGGCATAATATTGCAAAAAATCCTTCCACTTAACTAGTACCTTTTGTGCTCTTGTTTTTCCTCAGCGCACCCTTCTAATCTCAGGGGTTCTTAAATGACCTCTATGTCTTATGTCAAAGTTGGTGTAGTGAAGACGGTGTGTGATCTCCTATCGCCCGCCTCAGCTGTGAGACATGAAATACTGGCTGCAATGCTAATGAAGATGGTAATCCCAATAGATAGGTCACTGCTCCAATGCACTCCAAAATCACATAAGGCCAATGTATTGTAGGGACAATTTCTCATTTCTCCTTTTGGCTAGTGTCTTCTATCGGTAGAGTTTCACCTTCAAGTAAGCCATATCTCCTGGCTCAAAGTATACTTCTCTCTTGTGCTCATTAGCCTTCATCATAATGATCTGTTTAGGCCTCAGATGTCGCTTGAACTACTAATATCTTGTCCCTCTCGACCTCTCCTCTAAGTACTAATCTACATTGGATATTGGTGCAGTGCTATGCCTACAATGTATCAAATAGGATGGATTTCTCCCATAGAGAATCCTTAAAATGATGGTTTGTACTGCTGAATGGTATGAAGTGTTGTACCAATACTCGGCCCAAGCAATAAACTTTACCCAACTCTTCTACGCATATGATACAAAGCATTGCAAATAGGTTTCCACGCTTCTGTTGACCACCTCTGTTTGGCCATCTGTTTGGGGCGGTATATTGTGCTCCTCTTCAGGACTATCCTTTATAAACAAAATGATGTAGAACGGGTAGGAGCTCTAACAAAACTCCAAGTGTCTCCTCACAAAAGCTGAAAAGTACCTTCAGGAAATCTGAAATTTTCAGATTCTTCTGGGTAGAAAGAGGAGTAAAGGAAGTTTGGGAGAGGCTTCCAGCAAATGTCCAGCCTTGGCTTTGGAAGACTTCGGCCAGCAGAAAACTTTTAATTCCCAGAATAAAACTCCAGCAGAGGACTTTGCACAACTCGGCTAGCAGCCAACAGGATTTGGAAAACTTTCCAAAGAGAAAGGTTGCTCTTACGGATGGGTTTCAAAGTAATTTCATAAAGGAGAGGGGGGGAAATTCCAATGATTTAGTTGACGGGATTGAGGGGCTGAGGTGTAGTTAATTCTTAATTCCCTTAATGGGTTTAGGAAAATAAATTAGGAATTAAAGGTTCAGGGAATTCGACCAAGAGTGGTGGGGGGATTTCAAATTGTTTCCAAAGAGTTGGGGATGATTTAGGAAACAATTCCTATTGGAATTATTTGCTGGGGCCGGCGGTTATTGAAGCCCATGAGAGATTTAGGGAGGGGATTTGGGGAATCTAATTGGTAGGGGAAAATAGGAAATTAGTTAATTAAAATCCATTTGAATTTGAAAATTCAAATTGATTTAATTAAGGACTTCCTAAAATGGAATGGCAAATTAGGCAAGATTTCAAATTTCAAATTAGTGGAATTTGAAAATTTGAAAAACCGCCCAAAATTAAATCTCCCAAATTAAGTTTGAATTACATCATGAATGAGATTCAATACTTTCCTAAAATAGCTTTCTAATTTAGGAAACTATTTGAATTTCAAAATTTGAATTTCAAATGATGAAAATAATTTCCTAAATTATTTGAACTCTTTAGGTAAACATTAAGGTGGCATTGACTCCTCATTCATGGAGACAAACAAGGGTGGCCGGCGGTGGGCTAGGCTTGGGTGGGGCGGTGGAGGAGCTAATGGAGAAAAGGGATTGGGTTGGTGGTTAGGTTGAGGTGAGCTTTGGTAGGAGGGGCTATGGGGGTGGTGGGGATGGCCGGAAGGAGGGGGACGGTGAAGAGGATGAAAATAACGACGAGGAGAAATAAGAGGGAACAAACAAAAGACAAGAGACAAAAAAAAAACTAAAGATACAACGCGAGCCCGGACACATCCTGCGGTTGACGGGTACTACGTTGCCCTTCTCCAAGGGACTTCACGCCACGAGCCCGGACCCATCCTGCGGCTGGTGGAAACTCCGACTCCCTCCCATAGGGATTTCACTAAAGTTCCTCCCAAAGAACACAAGTGCAAAACACCAATTTTATTATACTTCCATCATACCTAATACAAGAGAAGGGGCCTCTATATATAGGCCTCAAAAGAAATTAAAAGACACATTTGCCCCTTGGGCTTACATAAGACAAGAGGGTAAAAAAGGGAAATTGCAAAACTAAATTAAAATACACTTAATAAACGAAAATAAAACAAAGTGATCTCGATCGTCGATCTTCAGCTCCTCGGATTGGCATGGACGGTTGGATGTCCGCATCACAAAACAACGCCTTTCAAAAATGACTAAGGAACACCTTGTCTCTATGTGCACAATAGAGTTTGGAAATCCATGTAAGCACACCCCCTTTCATACAAAAGCAGTAGCCATAGAGATGCAGTGCAAGGGTGCCTCAGAGGGATAAAGTGTGCATACTTACTCAGACGATCCACTACTACCATTATCATAAAAATCCCTCCGAACGTGATAACCCCTCGATGAAGTTCATCACCACCTCCTCCCACACCCTCTCCGACAGAGCTAAAGGTTGTAGTAATCCCAACCCTGCTCCATGTATTGTCTTGACATGATTTTGAGTGAAACCATGGTTCTGCACAGGATGGCATCTCCTCGCAACACCACCCTCTTCCCCTCCACTTGAATCTCCATAGTCAAAGATTTCCAATCCAACTTCGTCTCCTCGATTGTCTATTAACCACTTCATCTCTATAATCACATAAGTGCTCTCCAAATCCAAGGGGAGTAAATCCTCCACTATTTGTATGCCCTGGAGTGTCAGTACCAACCTCTTGCAAATCCCCCTCCTCTCTATCTTCCATGTCGGGCTTTAGGCCCTTCAAGAAATTTCCTTTCAACACCGCCTCTTAAATCCCTGTTAACTGCCCCAACAACAACTCAAATATCTCCTTATACTCCGTGATGATCCCCTCTTGAGTCAAGGCAAAGAATTGCTCATGAAGGTCCCCTTCCGAATGGCTTAAATATGCTCCAACAAGTAATCTTTAAACTCCTCCCAATAATAGATCGGATATCTAGCCTCCCTCCATTGGAACCAAGCTAAACCTTTCCCCTCCAGACATAGCCCTGCGACCGTAAGCTTCTCCTCCGCAGTCAACCCCTTAACCGCAAAATGCCTCTCCACCCGGTACACCCACCCATTGGCATCCTCCTCTTCAAATATCGTCATCTTCAACTTCCTTACCCTAGCATCTCCACTCCAACTTCCTTACCCTAGCATCTCCACTCCAACTTCCTCTCCCAACGATTCCCAACGTGCATCAAAGCTAGGAATCTCACCTCTCTTCCATCCTCCTTGCATAACCCAATCACCATGGCTCGGCTTTCATTTCTAGTCACCCACTCCCCTTGAATGCCTCTCATAGTGGTTGACCACCCTACCACCTCCACCACAAAGTTCCTTTCTTGTTGTCCCCCAATCTGGAAATCCTA